GGCAGCATCGCATTCTTCATTTCCATCATAGAGTTGAAGTTCGTTGTCGATTGACAAAAATTCTTCGTAATTGTCAACTTGTTTCAGCTCCACATTCTCGCCGTCATTTTCATTTACAATCACCATATCCACATCCATCTCCGAGACAATATGCTTAAAGCCACAGTGAGAAAAACAGTTCCGAATTGTCGCACTGCGCATTTATCGCCAACTTTCGGCCACGCATGTAACGGCTTGCAAAATGTTGACCTTTGCACTGATTTCCCCGGCCGTCGAGGATGAGGTCAGCAAGCCTTCCTCAATTGATTCAAGGATGTAATTCACCAACCTTGAACGATAAAAGGTCTTCAAATTTTTTATGATGCCCATATCCATTGCCTGTATCAAAGATGTGGTGTTGGGAGGCAGAAATTCCATCTGGATATTCTTCAAGAAATCCAAATTTGAATGTGCTGCACAATTGTCGAGAAGTAATAACACTTTTCTCGACTGGCGTTGTAGCTCTGTGTCCCAATCCTTCACCCATTCTTTAAAAAGTGTAGAGCTCATCCATGCATTCCTGTTCGCACGATACACAACTGGTAAACTGCCCATTCTGAGTCCCTTAAAGCAGCGAGGCTTGGCACATTTTCCTATAACCAGCAACTTCCTCTTGTCTGTTCCGGACATGTTTGAGCAGCACAAGACAGTTACGCGATCCATTGCCTTTTTGCAGCCAGAGAGAGTAACATGTTTGTAACTTAAGGAGCCGTACGATGTAGCCCTATAGTACAACCTGGTTTCATCAGCATTATAGATGTCATCTGCTGGAAATTTTTCAAGAATCTCTGGTAGTTTTGTTGATTTCCATTCTTCAGCTCGAGAGCTATTGGCACTTTCTTTCTCACCATGTGCTTTCTCAAATTTTACATAATGTATAGATTTCCATCGAGACAACCAGCCGTCCGCAGCTATAAAATCTTCGTGGCCCAGAATTTTAGCGAGTTCTTCCGCTTTGTACTTTAACATTGGACCACTTACTCGCACGGCTCGTCCAGTAACAAAGGCAAACCAATCATTAAGGGCCTCATCGACGTCTGGATCCTTGCCTTCACGCTTCCGTTTTTGGGAAGTACCTTGTCGTCCTTCACATTGTGCCCGTTCTTCTCGCAGATCTTTCTCTTGTTTTATCAGGCGCGATATTGTAGATTTTGCCAAGCAGGTAATTTCCACCAATCGACGCTGACTAGTGGTTGGTCCCTGTTCCTTGATCTGATCTAGGAAACGAATCTTCTCAGCTAACGTCAAGTCCCGTCGTGGCATTTTCTTAACATGCAACAAGACACGCACAGTTCACTGAGGTGAACTCGAGTCTGTCTCCCGGGTATTTCTATGGTTGACCTAGTCACCTGCAGTCCTATGATTTGCCGGACCTGTGTGTCCGCGATCACTTGCCGTGCTCATGAGTAGGCCCGCAATGCGGGCTCAGGGCATTCGGCTCAATGGACGTGCGGTTCATCGATCGAGCGGTTAACGACATGTGAACAGGCATGTATGTCTTCGCTCCACCTACAAGTGTTGGAAACTACAGTCAGTTTCGGGCGGTTCTGAAGCCAATTAGATAGATGTGCCTCAAGGTTACCACAGTTAAGTTTATCCAAAGGCCAACTCGGATTACTGTAACCTAATGATACGCTTTCTTGCCCGACATATGAACTGTGGGTTTAGTCCAGACATCCAGGCACAGAACTTGAGTTTAACACCTCTGTTACTTGCCACCTTCTATCGTCTGGTCCGATTAAGCGGAATTCCGGTCCTAATAAGCGGCTAAAATTAGGCTAGCGTAATAGGATTCGTTTCGGTTCTTCAGAATTTGGCCCGAATAAGCGGCTGGTCCTATTAACCGGTGGTCCTATTAACCGGAATCGACTGTATATACTTAAACCTGTGGAGCTTGTCCATCTGCTGCAACATTTGGGTGAAAATCCAGTGTCAAATGCAGATATACGTCAGGAAACTTAACAGTATACATTACTGACCAAACCCAAACGATTAGTCTCTCAAGGTTAACCTGACAGCTGTGAACCGCAACTACTGCTCTACTTTATCCGACGCACAGAGCTCAGTCTCGAGAATGCGTGTTTGCTATGTGGATCTAGGGCGATCATCCCACGACGGTGGCGACAGAATGGCTTACAAGTTCTTCACGCAACGCACCCAGGAAACACGAGAATGAAGGCACTTGCTCGATCTTATGTATGGTGGCCTAACATTGACAAATATCGAAGAGGATCCGACACTACGACGTGTGTCAAAGCACTCGGAGGAATGCCCCTCCCATACCACTTAGTCCTTGGAAATGGCCCAGTAAACCGCGGGAACGCATACACGCAGACTTCTTTGACCCGTTGGATGAAAAAAATATTTCATGCAGGCATTTCACTTCACGAATTTCAATAAAACAAGAAGAAATAACATTATAACAGAATTTACTGAATTCAGTAATTTCGCGTATTCTCCTCAGCTGTTTACATACAATGAGTGGAAAACAGTGCGATGTTAACAGCAAAAATTCAAAGCGGTCGAAGGTCTTTAGGCTCACGTGACCTGTTCCGAGGAAAACGCAATCGCCAGCCTCACCAGGGTAGGGCTAGCGTGGTCACGAAATCCGTTTGCTTGCATAGCTTTGGCTTCAGCCGCCGAATTGCTGCCGCTTCCGCAAACTGTAGTAAACGGGGATTAGCCTGTTTGCTAACTACCCTGAAATTGCCACGTGGGTTCTGGCATTCAGGGCAGTCTAGTATGTGGCGTGCAATAGAGCTAGTTGGTAGCTTCGGACCCTTAGCAATCATGTTTCGCGGAACATGCTCTGCAATCCTCGCTGACAGCCTTCTCTCAGTTCGGCCTACGTACTTGCTACCGCAAGTACAATTAAAGAGGTAAATGCAAGAGGCGGTAACTTGAGAGTCTGGTCTGTCCAGGTTGGATTTACAGAGCCGCCTTCTGGCTTGATGCAATACCACTAGCTCAGCCGCATGGTAACACTTCTTAATCGATTGACGGAGGCGATGCCTGCATCTTCGGTCAAGTTGATCTCCTTTGAAGGGCAGTGTAATGAATACTTTTTTCTTTGGGACATCTGTTGGTGGTTTATCTCCGGATCGTACTTTCGCGTGCCGAGTTATAAATCGCGCTGGATACCCATTCTCTTGTAGCGTCAAAGTGACTCGTTCTAGTTCATGTTCGATTGTGTCTAATGAGCAAATTTGGCGAGCTCTAGCAAAAGTGGTACGTACTAGAGCTCGTTTATAGTTCACTGGGCAAAAGCTATTAAAGTTCAAGTATTGCCCCGTCCATGTTGCTTTTCTGTACACAGATCGAACGAGTGTACCATCTGGCTTTCTCTGTAAGTTAACATCTAGAAAGTGGAAAGATCCGTCGACTCGTTTTCCATTGTGAACTTGATGGCTGGATGGCACATATTCATCAGTTTCAGTAAGTGCGCCGCCTGTTCAGGTGTGTCAACGACGATGAATGTGTCGTCTACATACCGGCAATAAAGGTGTACATTTAGTAGGTAAGAAGCTAACACAGTGTTTTCCAAGTTTCCGAGGAAGATATCAGCCAAAACTGGGCCCAGTGGGCTGCCCATGGCCACGCCGTCGATTTGTCGATACAGGGTTCCATTGAACCGGAACTGAATATCTTTTGTGCATAGGCGCAGTAATGATTTGAGCTGTAGCGCTGGGAACCCAACTTTATCAGCGTGTCTGGCTATTATATCTAGTGTTTCTTCCAAAGGTACGTTCGTGAATATGATAGAAGTTTTTTCACTTGCAAATGCCACCTTTGAGATGACCGTTTCTTGCATGCGGAGGTGTTTCAGTACCTTCATTATACCACATACGCTGGTACCAGACAACGGTTCCGTATTTACTAGTCAGGAATTTCAAGAGTTCCTCAAAAGCAACGGCATACATCATGTGAAATCAGCCCCCTACCACCCGGCTTTGATCGGGTTAGCAGAAAGTGCCATCCAGATGGTCAAGAACGAGTTACGGAAACAAGCCTCTGCTCCACTGCGTTCAAAGTCAGACAAATTTCTTTTTGGCTACCGCATCACGCCTAAAACAACTACTGGGAAGAGCCCAGACGAGTTGATGTTCGGACGGAGGTTGAGGACACGGCTGGATCTTCTGTTTCCTGACCCGGGGCTACTTGTCGAGGCTTAGCAAGATCAATCTGACATAGTACGACCAGAAGGCTTCTGATCCAAGCTTCTGCCAGAATGAACCGGTCTACGTCAAGTTGCCCAACGAAACAATCTGGCAGCCTGGAGAATTGCGCGAAGTTGAGGGACAACATACCGAGGTGGCTTTATCTGATGGCAGAGTAGTTACTCGGCACAAGGATCACGTCCGACATCGTTCAGTTTCAACTCCTCCAGATGACGAGTCCTCGAACCAGCAAACTAAGTTGATAAACGCGTAGAACTCTTAAAACTCTGGTCAACCGGAGGCTCAGCAATGTCGCCGTTCAACTCGGCTACGCTGACCCGTCGACCGATACCAAGCTAGCTGGAGTGGTCCAAACTAAAGGGAGAAGGAATGTGGCATCCTCACGGCCAATGTACTGAGCCCCTTCTATTCATTGCTTGCATTCGCTGGCGTGTGTCAGTAACCCACTGGCTCATTTATCTATTGACGTTAGTTTAGAATAGTGGATCAATGCGTTGTACAACATGCCGGTTAGAATACAGTTTTGCCTTCCATGTGCTTGACGTGATCTGCTTTGTGATACTTCGGCCATTAGTTTGCATTAGTTTCGCGATTGCTTAACTGTGACAGTCTCAACATGCATGTTGCTGTTTGCCTTTGACTTCAAAGCCTTTTTCTCTTACGCGCACACCGAGTCGCTAGGTGACCATTCACCTAGGTGGCATTATCGCTCTGTAACTCTTACAAAATCCCATTTTTGTTCCGTTTTATCGGTATCCCTCCACATGTCTCGTTGCTTTGCAGCTGGTGAGCGGAGGCCCTCCTCGCATTGTTGTCCAGCTACACATGATGCGATGGCCCGATTTCTCCGCACCATCTCCTGTGGACTTCACTTCTCTCCTATTCACCTACTGGACAGAGAGAAGATGCACAAGCTCCGATGCCCCGGTGCTAATACACTGCAGGTATGTATGTGTTGGTCACACCCTCTGGTTAGATACATGTGTGCGCATATCGGTTGTTGTCAATGGTTTTGCATAGAGATAATACGCGGAACGCATGCGTCTGCCAGCTTTCATCTTCTTTCTGCACTTTTCAAACAGTTGTAAAGGCCTGACTGCCTTAAGTGTTTCAAACGATAAATTCCCCTCTGAAACTCAAGTTGCTTCACCGTATAGTCAGCCTGAGGTGCAATGTTGTGTGTTCACATGTGAAATGTACTATCGTGCATTGCTATCTGCGTCCAGTTCTTACAGTGTTGCGTAGACACAAGTTTTCTGGGGCTAACCTCAGAAGTGTGGCATCCGCTTACCTGGAGGCAGTCCAAACTAGACTTGTGGAATTGTCAGAAACCCTTACTACCCGTCATCAAAGGTCTGTCTCTGCACTGTCCGATTGTTTTCACCTACTTTCGTGAGGCCACTACTGTTTTTATGAGGCGAAATTGGTCTACTGATCTCAAACATTCGCTGTCAAACAATAAAACTAAGAACCAATTGCCCATAATCCTAGTAAGCAAGTGACCAATTTATGAAACTTGCAACCTGGCTCATCACAACGGGAAATGTTGTCATTTGGACCTGTGTTGTAAAGCTGCCCTGCCTCTGCTTTGCCTGAGGTGCCGCTAACCCAGCCAGGGGAAAAGCAAAAGACGAGGTTCGCTTGATCGGTATATATTGGCCGTTGTTTGACATCCCAGGTGTGTCTGCGCTTGATGTGCATGTTGACAAGGTGCCTACCTGTCTAGTACCCACTGCCTCGTCCATACTGGCTCCAGGAAACAGTTGCTTGTTGCTGGAACGGACGGGGTGCACTGTCCTTGTTGTCGTGCTATGCTCGAAGAGTCGTTCCATTCACTCAGTGTGGAGCGGACTACGGTCCAGTCACCGCCTTGTGTGCGCTTGATTCCCAAAAACACAGCATTCTTGTGTTTGCCTGAAGGAGTGTGGGCCGGCTCCTTTGATGAAACGTGGCTCCCATCCACATGCCTCCCGATCTTATTCCTTCGGGTGTACACTGGACATTGCGTGTGTGGTTGGAGCTGTGTGTTGCAGCGCAAGCCATCCATGGTCCCTCTGTAGGCGCAGGCGTCCTGTGGCTTGCCACAGTGACAGGCAAATCCGAAACCGGATGCCACCGACCATGTATGTGAATGTATGTACATGGTTAAGTTTATAAGTCACATGCACTGACTTTCGACTGCGCGTTGCTGGGCTGATTGACGTCACTTGCCTAGACAGGTTCAAACATGAAGCGGTCTCCACTGTCCTGTAGTAGTCACGTTCACGTTAGCGCCATAGAAACCCGCGCTACGATGAGAAACTGGCTCCGTCAGCTGCTCTGGATTGTGCAGCAACTTGTGTTGTGGATGACGAACCGAGTCATTCAGCTTTCCACGAGATCTAATGAAGGCTCAACTCTTGTCTCGAAACAATGTCGCGGCGTTCATCCGTTGCGTCGGCCTAATAAACTGATACTAATCTTCTCAATATGTTAATCAGATTTTTTTATAGAAGTCCACTTCGTGGGCTTTTTGATCCGTTTAAGAGGTTTTAGTTAACTAACCCGGATAAGCATGTCTGGTGCAGAAATATAGTAACTGGTATGGCGCACGAGGTTAAAATGGTGCCAGTTAGTGCAAATTGTGCTACCGCAGCTCATGCGTCATGTTCAACGATGCGAGTAAATTTGAACGACTCAAGGAAGTGGGGGACATAACCAATGTCGAATCGCGCATAGTTCGTCACCTTGGAATGCTTACTCTTCATCGCGTGATAGGTTTTGACACTTTCAATAGTTTGAAGCCGAGTGGTAGCACCACTCCGCAGCTGCATGGGTCACCCAAGACACATAAGTTCAGTGTGCCACTCAAGCCGGTGCTTTCAATGATGAATGCGTTTCAGCATAAACTGGCCCGTTGGTTGGTAAAGGCGCCTTCTACTCTGAGGCAACGATCCAATCCGTACAGTCTAAAAGACTCGTTTCAACTTATTGATAACTTAGATGTAATCAGCCTATCAGTCATATGTTCCTTAGAATTTAGAATCCTCATCCACCAACCTTCCGCTACTTTAGGCAGTTGTTTGCGTATGCAAATTAACTGAAAACCCTGACTATTCGTTACCACTTCCGGTTGCATTTCTGAGGGAATGCGTGCTGTTATGCACAGCCAATGTCAGGTTTCATTTTCGGGACACACTCTACGGTCAAATTGATGGCTTAGCAATACGTACCCCATTAGTTCCTGTTCTCGCTGATTTCTCCATACTGATGATAGCAAGAAACATTTCTACAAAAATTCCTCAACTGCCCTATTGCAAACGCCATGCGGATGATCATTTGACTTTTCGTTCGTCGGAGCAGCAGCTCGCACAGTTGGTCGAGTGCCTCAAGGGTGCACGTGCTAACTTACAGGTTACATTCGAAGTAGAACGGAATAATTATAATTATTATAGTTGCTTTTCGGTGAACGGACCTCTTAATTAACCCACCATCTCTGCGACTGATAAGGAGACCTAGATATGGCAGATAATTATCTGCCACATCTGGACATCTTTATCAGTCGCAGGGAGGATGAATTAATTACGAGGTCCGTTTACCGAAAAGCAATTCAGTCTGGCCAGCACTAACAATTCACCAGCTTCACACCGATAGGACACTCCAGTACACTTCGGGTCATCCGGAATACGTTTACGTGGGGATAGCCTCATTGTTCTTCCACAGGGCACAGACCTTGTGTACAACGGAAAAGGATAGAATGATCGCGCGGAAAGTGATAGTGAAAATCCAATTACAAAAGCAATAGGGTCCACAAATATAGCCTGCAACCCGGTGAATAGAAACGGTGGGAATTCCCTACAAGGATTGCATCTCAGAAGAAATTCGTAGCGTACTGAAGAAGGAAGATATAGTGGTGAGCTGTTAGCCGGTCCATATTTTGCCTTTAACCGTGATGCCCTTAAAGGACCCCTTCCCACAGAACAACTGTCAGTGTGTACAACATCAACTGTAAAGACTACGCACACGTGTACATTCATCAAACAGCGAGAGAGCTACGAACACTGATCTTATTACACTGTGCATTTTGCAGCCGCTGAAGGATGAGTTTGAATGCAGATTCCAGCTAATAGCTTCGGCCGTAACGGTGTCTCCGCCAGACACAGCATGAAATCGATTTCGCTAATCTCGTGTAAACTGCTCGCTTATTTTCTATCCCAAGAAGCAACGCATGCAGTACGCTCGAAGCGAACAATTGTTTCCGCTTCATTCAATTTCAAGCTTACTACAGAGGTATACGTTGGAAAAGTGTAGTTCAATAGAAGATACAGAGATTGGCTGTTGATTGTACAAAATTAAGTGGTTATCGTAACAGCATCAGGTCTTCAACTTATTAACCATAACAGTAGTAGTATTAGCAACAGTCCAACAGATAGACATGGAGCGAAACAAAACCATGCGAAGCACCCGAGGAGGATAGGTTTAATTACCGAATCATTCTCATGACACATTAGCTGAAAGTGAGCAACACACTCTAACTATTGTGACGTAACAAAATCTGAACGTTTTGTTATTTTGTGCACGCCAACTTTCATTGTTGGTATTTTTTACTTGTTAAGCATTAAACGTCTGAATCTAAAAAAGGTATGCACATAGCTCTTCCATTGGTTTTGATTGTTCGCCATTTCCTGAATTGTTTCCAACGATCGGCCCTCCTAGTCTTTCGGTCCCCAACCAGACGGACGTATGGATCCAACGGCAGCAAGACATGAAGTCAACGATTTCAAATACTGTCATCATCTGGACGACTGACCACCGCGTCGTCTCTTCCAGCCAAGTGGTGCACGAGCCAAAAGGGCGCCATAGGGCAAACGCTCAGCTGACATCCGCAGGACATGATCACACCATCTCAACTGACATAACAAAATCAACTTGTTGTTGGGAGTACACGCATTTCCTCACCGCCGCAACTAAATCACCGGTCGGGGGCATAACTGCTTGTTACCGTTGAAGCGCTGTGCACCAGATTGACAAAACTTAATATATGCACACCGCTGAAGCTCGTCAACTCAATGTAAACACATGAGTCAGCAATCATCTGAGACCAATCGGATCTCGCTCAACGACGCTACCTGCGTTCAATCACTTGAACACATGACGCTGTTACGATAAGCGCTTAATTCTGTGCAACCAATAGTCAATCTCTGTACCTTTTGGTGAACTACACTTGTCTCAACGTAGGTTTCTGTAGTATGCATGAAGATGAATAAATCGAAAACAGTTGTTCGCCTCAAGCGTACTGCTTATGGTTCTTCTTGGGATTTAGAAAATTTCGAGAGCATTAAAAGAGTTTTGAGAGCGACGCCCCAGAGGTTAATTGGCAAGGCCAATAGCTGCGTTAATAGAATCGGGAAGCTGGTCGGAGTATGTGGTGAGCAGTCTTCATCTGGCCAGTCTGACGAGCGTAAATACTCTGGTCAGATTGGATAGCTAATGTCTAGGTCATTATCATCATCACGATGACCGTACTTGTCAACGCGACGGACGGTTAAACCCATGGAATAATCCCTGCCCGACTGGACCACTTGAGTTGACTTTTCCACCTGTGTCTTTAAGAGTCTTGACTCATCTCAGTAGTTACGATGATCTACCTCACCCGCTATAAGATACCACACCAGCTCTGTACGAAATCACCTGGCTTGGAGCTTTTTGGTCAGTGACGAAACACCTGCAAGTAAATGAAGCAAACGATTGTCCCTATAACTCTGTTCAGCCATGGCTTCCTGATCGGTTCCAAGTATATTGTAAGATTTAGAAACTTTTGCCTTGCTTCAGTCAAACCAAATTGGTCATGGAACTAACTGAAGTGTACCCAAATGCTGTCAGCTGGTCAGCATAGAAGCGTCGATGGCCGAATTAATCCGGTGCAACAACTGGTGGCGTCTTCTTTGATCGCTTCCAGTTGGCCTCATTGTCCTTTGGTGGGATCTTGTCCATTCACTCCGATTGGTCACTGTCCAGGTTGCCAGGTCATTGGTCAAATAACCTTCCTATTCTAGCGCAGTCCTTGAGTCGCTTATGGTTATGTGTGTAACGCTGTTTTCTCTGCTACGCCAACCCAGCCGGGGACAAAACAGAACACCGAAATCTGCTAGACCAAAGTCTATTAGGCACAGATCATGGTTCATTTTATAGCTCGCAATCATCTTACGTAGCAACCTGTTTCACGCTGACGATCTGAGTTCATCAGCTTCCCGCGTGACTTAGCCGTGGTACCGCAGGTCGGGTAGCAACCCGTGTGATAATGACGAACTGATTTCATCAGCTTCCGGCGTGACTCGGCCCTGCTACCACTGGTCGGGTAGCAATTTGTGTCCCGATGATAGGCCTTTTGAAACCGTGTCACTTTTTTATGCTGCGGCCTCCTGTCATTACGTCTCAACTTTTCCACCCAACGGACAAGCTATCTTTTCACCAAATTTTTATCATCAGTTGGTGCACCTTTCTTCTTCGCCGGTTATAGCTTCTGTTTGGTGTGCTATCGCATTTTGTGAGATGTCGAACTTGCGTGATCTGTGTCCGAGTACGCTAGCCGTTACCCACCACTAGTTGCTTAGGCCAGTGTGAACTAACCTTATCCAGCCGAGAAATGACTACGGAGTATATGAAGAAGTGAAAACGTCCATAAGGCAGCATCTTGTGCCCTCTCCTCACTTTGTTGACCTGTGTCCATCCAGATGCGTGTACTACACAGAACTATCTACTTCTGAACACGCAACAAACTTGCTTGAAATGTTTGACAGCATTCTCGATCTATATTCACATAACATTCGCGGGTGGAGGTTTTGTTGATCCTTGTAACATTTTTACCGTTTTTCTGAATGCAAAGATACCCCACTAGATCCTCACCAACACTTACCTTGTACACGATTTTGTCAATAGCGCTGGAATCGGCCGGACTGGTACCTTTATCTGCCTCGACCAACTGTGCCATCAAGCGCGGTATTATCTGCAACCCGATTTTCAACCATGGAACATGCATCCCACTTGTAAAACGCCCACCAATTTGGATGAACCGGTGTATGTCAATCTGAAATTCGATTCTGAAGAAACGGCTAATTCATCTGCTAACAATCACCGTGTTTCCGGCCTTAGTGCGGCAGCCTCAGAGCCATGTGGTGATGAGTACCCGAATGGTGGAAGCCAAACCGCCGCAGGATTGCTGTCCGGCGCTACACGCAACAATGACACTCGATCGAATACGGCGCGTAGAAGACGCTTTGGTTTAGGTCGACGAAAATCGCATTGCATCGACATTTACAAAATTGTGCTTTGGTTACGCTCCAACCGGAGCTATATGGTCCAATCAGAGGTGGGTATATGTGTGGGCAGTGCATACTGTTGGGAATATTCACTGAATTCCTTCTACACTTTGTTGTTTTTCCTCTCTTCCATTGCAGGAACAATATCTTTTCATTTACCAGTATTTGTCTTATTTTATACAGAAAGTTAACGATTCCGGTAAGTTTTGTTTATTGGCTCGCTTTCTGTGGGTATTCGGCGTCATCCTACCGCGCTGTTTGTTATTATATATCGTCCACTGTTATATGCACAAGTCACGATTACCTTACGCTTGGGTTGTATATAGGTTACGAAAGTGTTAGACCCACTGCATTTCCCACTGGAAAGGTTACTTTCCAGGGTCTTTCCAAATAAACCCATTTGAATTTATGTAAACTTCCATCATTAAACAAGTTCCTTTCAGAAAATGTTTGGAAATGTTCTTTCGTTGACTTTTTCCATGTCACAGAACTGGCGCTCGACCGCTCCTCTGGTCTTCGTTTACGAGTCCGTTTGACCCTTAGTTTTAACCCTTAGTTACTAGCCCACTCACTATAACAATGAAACAATGTCTGTCAACAAGTCCGGTAATACTTTCAGGATGAACCTCGTAAAGGCAATAAACGTGTGCCGACAGAATTTAGTGCGCACTAGTGGATTCACGATCATAACTACACCCGTTTTGAATGCATGAAACCATTGTTTACGGTATTTGTCCTTCTGGCTGGCAACTGGGACAATGCGTTTCTGACTTGATTTCTTATGGCGAGGTAACAACGACAACAACGTAAACTGGGAGGGCGTTTGATGTCCGGCACACTAAGGTGGAGAAATTACAACCTTCCAGCGGTATATTTCATGGTCGACTCTAACTAATAGGTTTTCAGATCTATGTTACGACTGGATTTTAGTAGGGGGCGGTAAACGTGGTTGGGATACTTTAAGATTCGGTAAGTCATTCTGAGCTCCACCCATACTGACCGCTGTATCGTCTTGAGGCTTTTAGTTTAGGTTGATACTGGCGATGTAGGATAACCTTTGTGTTTCTACGTGGCATTCGTTACGGGGTTTTGAGCACAATAGAATTATGCTTCTGTCAGAACTGCTATCTCTGAGTAGTCTGATAGATAACCCCGCACATGCAGTGTGGGGCTCCTATATCAAAAATGTTGAAATTAATGGACCACACTGATCCAACGATTGACCTAGTATGGTCCGAATTCTGTTGCCTCTTTGGATAATTTGAATGTCTTGCTCACGAAGTCGACTTTACCACGGACACTTGGGTGTAGTGGGTTCAGTTTTCATGACTTCTGCTTCCATAGTGTTTCGATGTATCTTTCAGTTGGCAGCAGAATGTAATGAAACACTAGACGTGTCCAGCAGAAACAAGGTCAGGAGATAACGAATGCAGTTGTTCAATTACATAGGTACCAATTACCTTGGAAGGGAACACTTCGATTAGGTATCTAAACACTGATTCAGGCAATCCTGAAGTTTCGGCTCATGAGGATGGCGCGTTCTCTCCCCACTGGATCCATCGGTTTCCTTTTATCGTATTTCACTCAACCAGCCAGTTTGTGAAACGATGCGGATTGGGTCAGACGGTATTCAAAGAATGTGACCCAGGCTAAGCGAACGTTGCAGCTTATCAGACAAGTGTATGTGATCCAACAGTCTTATCTCTAAAGCAATGGGGAGTGGTTTCAACTGGATAACGTGAGCAAGGAGTCCCTTCGTGACGTGCTCGAGGTTGCTACCCGCAGTTTTGCAATCTTCGTGCCAATTCTCACATGCGTGCATGGTCAGCCGCAGTTGAGTGTTAGTGGGTTTAAACCCACCTGACTTGATCAGTGTGGTAGTAAACCTGTGCGTATGCTTTATTCTCTCGCATCATCAGGTGCAACCCGCGGCACTTATGTTTTACACCATTCTAAACAGGTCTTAAGCCTACAACCGCTGCCTCATATAACTTTGTCTTCAGTGATGAGGACCATCGACCTCTCTCCACCGGGATGGATTGTGTATGACTTCTGGCATCTGAGCTGTGTACTCTGTGTGGCTCAAAAGGCACGTAGAACGGACTACTTGGTGTAGCCGATTGGATCCTGGAGGATCGCAACTTATCGTACCATATTATTACTCATTCCCGCTGCTGCATGGATCGTGTCAGTGGGTTGGTCGCACCCAACCTTTTATTAGATCCGGTGTAGCGTGATGATAGGAAGCGCAAACGATACTTTCCAGTAGGCAGTCTGTGTGCACTCGATGCCTACGAACGATATCGGTGCAAATATGCAGTGACTTTGATCCACATTACCGGCGGTCACATAAACTACCGGGCTTGCCGTGCATAGTCAGAAACTTAGGATATAGTAACGACCTTAAAGGATCATTTCACATGCAACTAATGGCTGCATTTTGTTTTTTTAAAGTTTTGATCACTTAATATTTAAGTGCGATCAATCGGTGATTGACACTCATGCATTTAATCCAATGAACGACACGTTGTTGACTGATGGGCCTATACGGACTGCCTAGATCTACAACCCACTGGGAGGCTAGGTCGACCATTCTCATTAACATCAACGACAAAACGGATGGTCCGCAACATTAGGGATCAGCTCATTTTACTTGGCGTTCATACATTTATCACCTATATAATACCACGGCACTCCATTTCATAATCCCGTACTCTATTTTCTGTTTTGCTCTTTTCCCGGTCTAACACCATCCTTTTGTCTGTGTCTTATCTTCAGAACAAATCTATGTGAACGTTTAACCCCAATTTGGGCTCCGACAAATCATACGAAGCCAGCTTACAGCACATCATTTCACCATGCTTGTGAGCCCACCACCCTCCTGTCCACCCTAGAACCACATCGAGTATTTTGTATTTTAATGGATCGCTTTGGCATCAAGCACTCTTTGCTCATTTTGATTTTACCAAATATACACTCGCCCGATCGTAATGCATCTCATCAGTATCACATATCCTGGCGCTGGAATTACGTAGATGAATTGGGCACACAAGCCCAAGTACAGCCCAGTTTGTTTCCAAGCTGTGATTTTCTTCGGTAACTTATCAAACGCAGAACTGTTATGGGCTTCGATCAAAAAATGTCTGCTAGAACACTACTTGCTGTTAATAACGCACAGTGGTTATGCTGAACTTTGCAAACGCGCTTGGGGATAGGTTCCGCGTTTTGCTCGTAATTAATCCTTGGGCGAAAGTGCATTGACCACATGCTGGTCTGCCTGTATAGCCATATGGGCCAATCGTATCGTCGATGCCATCTCGGACGAATCGTGTACCAGCGGTTTGGGCGCATGCGCTCCTGGCTGCTTGGTTGCGTCCGCAGTCAACACACTGGTAATATCTTACTAATAGCCTCACTGGAATCTCCCTGTGATGTTTTCAAACTTGCACAGTCTCAATTGCGTGTATATCTCAATTAACTTACTTTACGTTTTCTGTGAGTAGATGATTGGCCACTGTAGTCCCAAGCATGCCTGTCTCGGCAGCTGGTTACAATCCTAATTGATCAATAACTCCTTCCGATATGATCTCATCATGCACTTTAGCTTTGAAATGTGTTCTGTGTCTCTGAACACGGTTCATCAGATATGAGTGAAGATATTTCGGACTTATTCATAAAGTCTGAAGGTTGCGGATCGCCATTTTCTGATCTCAACTGGTGTATCCCTACTTGCTGAGTTCGACCAAAACCGAAGCAGTCTTTGGGTTGCAGAGTTTTAGATTACAAAAGTACATGCATCTTTCGACGACAGGCGAAGCTGTGCCGAAGTAGTGGCAGATCATTTTATATCCATACATTCGAACTGGAGGTGGTCGCACTAAACGCGAGATAAGTCGACGTGCAAATAAAATACCCTATCCATATCGGAGGGATGGATGCTCCTATTAGATGGAGAAATGTAAGTGTCTCACGTGCAGACGGTTTTTCGATCACTGGGATCACACTTTACTTTAAATGCCATGGCAGGTATGCTAGACCACTCCAGACAACTCTTTGGGGGTAGCGACACATACAAGATATTCAACATCCAATGAACGGAACCTGCAGATAATTGTTGTGCTCACTTGTTGCTATTTTCCTCAATTGCGGTGTTTGAACTACATTCCGCTTGGTGCCCAGAGTAGTGTCATACTATGATTCTATTATCACTTAAGGTTTTCTGGGAACTTCTACTATAATCGCTTGAGTTAATAGCCTCCATCAAGTTGCAATGCACTCGCTCTGAAGGCATTGGCCCCGGTCCTCCCCAGCCGGCGCATTCTGCTTCACGTTTCTCCGCAGACATCGGTTTTTCTTATTGACTTGAAGCGGGGAGAGCACGAATTCATCCAATAAAACTGATGCATGTTTCACTCAAAATGCGGGTATGTATCTGGGATTCGATCGATCTTTCCTTTTTACCACGATTCTGTTAATCGTAAACTAATATCTCAGCCGATTGTGCTGACGAGAATGGGTTATTAAAAGCCTTCGTATGGACTGTACATCCAAGTAGATAAGGCAAGTCACTGAGGTGATGTGGTACGAGGTGGATACTTGCCGGAATGGGCGGATCATATGACAGCCTGCTCGATAAACAAGTAATCGAAAACGTCAGTGCAGGCGAACTTACGTTTTCCATAATTACCTACCAGCCTGGTAAGGTTATATAAAATGTCCAATATATATGACAGTATAATGAACTCCGTATAAGAAAAAATCACTGTTTATATGTAAATAATTACTGTCAATGAGGTCCATGTATCGATCCATACCCAATCCCACTTAATAGTTGTCAAAATCGATCGGGCCAGAGCAGCCGCTAGGCTTGAACGAACCGCTTCTGAATGCAGATATTGTTAATCCAATCGAAGCGTGATAACATCAACAGATAGTATACCATTTCTCAGGCAAGTTAGTCCAGGGCGGAATCAAGTTAGGCATTAGGAATTTTGAACTTCTGTCACTTACACAAGTTGCTCCTTTCATGCGTTGGTCGCGGTTACCGCGCGCACCGTCGCGTAGTTGCCTCATTATTCAGGCGCCGTCAGCCAATACAATATCGGGTGTAAGTTTAGAGCAAAATGTAGGCATGTGTGTGACAAAGGTGTGCTCACTGGACATACTCGCGAGTATGTTGTCGCCCGTGCAACGCTGAATTGCATGACGGGGTTTAGACCAGTGGTACCTTGGGTCACCAGCTGCAGAATAGGATGTAGTTGCGTCAATGTAAGACATGGGTTTGGAGCATACCCAACCCCCACCCCTTAAACATATCCTGTCGGCGGAAAGCGCTACTATTTTCCGCATTCTGTCGCGGTAAGTAGTCACTTTACCAGCCCTAAGGTTACTCTGCCCCCTTCGTGCAAACAGTTGCTCGCGATGGACACTGCGCGCGGACCAATAGGCCCAAAAGATTTGCCCATTAATTCTCGACGTTGTATTTGATTACGACCAAACGGCTAAATCGCATATAAACCAGTGGACGTCGGACGCTGCACCGGTGCAAATGCCACAGTGCACGAAGCTACTCGATGTCGTGAAATTGTGATTGAATACATATCAAGCTGTCGCCTAAGACTTTAATACAGCTACTAATATGTCAATCCTAGTGCATTTTGCATGGATGGCACTCGTTGCTTTACGAGTTAGCGTGATGAGTAATGAGCTAGCTTAGGCCATATAGTGAGTGCTTAACAAGTTTTGTATTTTGTTAGGGTGATTGAACCACAACTACTCGTGCATACATGCAACGGTGATCCGTTTTGGTACTAGGAGAAAAAAGTCGTAATACAATACGTAGCTGGAAGTGGGATACCAGTAAAAGTAAGGAGAACGAATTCGATAGATTTCACGTCAGCATGATGACCTCGGAACTCTACTCACCGACGTGGTATGTATATAGCTTGAGAGTGAGCTTCATGGATGCAGCAACTCTGCTCTTTTCCATGTGTCTACGTTCCGGGCTCTGAGGAAACATGTGGTTCGGGAAGCGTATGCTTTGTTTATTGTCGTGTTTCAGCTTGCAGACATGTTAGCTATCTTCCTTTGTGTGATCTTTCTAAGGAATTTCTGGAAGTATACGTACCACGCGTTATGACTATTGAAGTCGAGGCATCGGCAGCAGGATAATCTCCGTCACCACGGGAAAAGTAGCGTTACCCGAAGGAGTCTTCTTTGACCGTAATGCAGGGATTTGGAGAGAAGTAAGACGCTTCTCGGCGTGGTGGTTTTAACCCCGTTTCCACTTGCGTCAGAAATTAGTTTACACTCATGACCATCATCCTTCGTTACGCTGCTCTGAAATATAGCTGCACACGGCAGTTAGTTCACCGAAATTCTACCCGGTAACTAGCGGTTTGCGGTCAGCTACTGCTACGGTTTTGGACTACTTGCTAAACAGCGACGACTGTGAACGTGCAATTAGTAATGCATAGCCTACGCTCAGTTATACCTTTCGAATTACGGACGTTCCTGTCGGATCTAGCACGGAACCATTTGAAATGTCCGTTACCTCGTTCCTGGTTCTGCTAGACTTTATTTAACCCTGATCTGTCTAAATGATGATCGATTTAAAGCTGTGTCCTCGGAATCTAGGTACATTTTAGATGACCTGAAACTGACTTAACCGCTAGATGAGTTGGAATTTGCTGTCGTAATGTAATCGGATAGCAGATTCCAAGCTCAGCTGCGTCAACATTGATGTGAGCACCCACTTGACCACTCTGAAGTCGTTTGGAGTCAAACCAACTTATCCCACTTTCTAGCCTGTGCCTGTGTTCCGGGTGGAAGATGTATTGACGAAGACACCTGTTTGCTCCATGTGAAACCATACATCTTTTTGTCCAAGCAGAGATGCCCCTAAGGAGTAAAGAAATGTAGACCGAGCGAGTCCTCATAATTATTCACATTTCTTCCGCTTTTCGCCGCGACTCTCTGCTTTCTTAGTGTGCAGCTAGCACGGAATAACCGCATAATCAGCAAATGTTGCCATTGCTATGCAGGGAAACATTTTATCTAATATTCGTATCCTCCCTTACCTTCTGCATTGATCCTACGTGTTACAAAATGACACCATGTAATCACACGAGTAAAATTACTTGACAGATGTTATGTTTATTGAACAAATATGGATCTTGAAGCTGTTTTGCGTGACATCCTGAATGTGCAAAGGCTGTGAAATCGTCGTTCAAAGTTGACCATAATACTTGGCCAAAATCAACTGCTGCTGGTATGCAGATCCACGTGGATTATGCAGTCCCGCTGAACAATGGATATGTTATTGTTATTGTTGAATATTTACGCGCCAAGGTTGTATAGAGCAATTTCTTGACTTGACTTGATCTATGCTCAAAATATCCAGAAGTAGTTTGTGTCACTCAGCCAACGACTGCTTTTATGTTTGCAGCTCTTCGTCATTATTTCTCACAATTTGGTTCCCAAGAGACACTCGCTAGATATAATCGTCCATAACTAACAACAAACGAGTTTAACCGATTTTGTCAAGCCATTGAGGTACTGCATATATACTGCCCCATTTATCAACCCCAAGCCAATGCATATGCTGCAAGGTTTACTGATGCATTCAAAAATGTTCTGTCGAAACTTTAGGGAGCTAGTGATATCGCTGCAAACTTGGATGCATTCGACACATATATTATTCAACAACAAATCTTTTTCTCACAAATCAACAATCACTGTAGCGGAGCCTTGCATCTATCAGAAGATTCCTCTGAAATATGTCATTGATCGTAATTTGGACTGTACTTTTCGATTCATTCAAATGACCTTCCGTCATGGTCAAGAGAACCGTTCGTGCACCGAAACATATACGCCAAAAATCTGGGTAATTCGTTCAACCTATCTTATCTCCATCTCATGTGCTTGTCTTAGTAACTGTTCAATCCTCCGTACGCCCATGTCCAGTGGTTCACGCCGGGTTTACACCTTTATTCCTTTGCTAACGATCATTCATGCATTCTAGGTAAATGGTTTCCAGGCGTTGCATTATCTTGAGTATTTGTT